GGGAGCCACAATTTCAGATTTTATCCATAACACTGCTAAAGAGGTCCACAGGCTTTAGCTGGTGCCTTCAGAATGCTCCTTTGACTTGTACACTTAGATCTGCCAATTTGATATCAATAGAGAGGTGAAGATGCTGCTGCAGCACCTCATCAAGAGCAAAAGCTGGGACAGAAAGAGTCTTTCTAGCCAGGGCCAAATGCTAAAGTCAGTGTGCAACTGTAGTCATGAGATTATGCCTGCTCTGCATTATTATATGCATTATTGTCTCATTGTCTCACCCCTATATCTATTATCTACCAAAAAACAACAGGGAAGCAGAGCATGGATGTGTGGACCTTAGAAAGCATAGGCATGTAATAAGTCGAAGGGCTCACAGGGACCACATATCATAAATAACAGAATTTAATTTAAAGGAAAAAACCTTTACTACATCTACAAACATTTGCAGGACAATTAACCCATAAGCCATTCTGAGATGATGATCTACTTAGCAAGCTTAGGAAACGTTATCAAGACACACCAAGTTAACTAGGTCTCAGATCTACAAAAACTGCACACAATCACCTCATTTTTCTTCTACATCAGTGTTTGTAACAGAATAGAAGAAGTGTCAGCGTGAAACAAGCCCTAAGGATTAATAAGAAAAAAAATAAACATAATGAACACAATCTTCTTTGTCTATGGACTGTACCAACAAAAAAAAAATGGCATATAGTATATTCCTAAGAAAACTGGGACAAATCATATTCAGGAATAAATGTTTGGCACTGCTTATATTAATAAACAGTAATTCTTTGTGTAAAATAATGAACTGAACAAAGAATATATCACTGAGATGTCCAAGATTAGCATCCCGTCTCTCTACTGTAAATGCTTAGATGCAAAGGCAAGCACACAAATATTTACTACCACTGAAGTGTAATGCAATATCAAAGAAATTAAACGGATACATTGAAATACAAAAATAGCACTGGTAATTTGGTAAGCCGTGCCCAATTACAGAAGGCCCAGCTTCTGTGTTATCATGCGCCCTCTGCTGGCCAAAGCAGGTATGAAAGCCTGCCAAAAATTATAAAAGACAACAAAGCTGGTCGCTCTGTTTATAAGCGCTTTGATCATTACTATCCTTGCTCTCTTGTCTGTAGGAAAACACATAAAACCACATGCATATCTTTCACATGGATTTCCTATTAGTGATGAGGCCTTTATATCAACGTGAATAATAACCTCATCTATGGAAAGAAAGTCAGTCAATTTCACTGATTACTCCTTAAAGTGACATTAAAGTCACAAATGTTTACCTCCCCCATGCTGCTTTAAAGTGACATTAAAGGATATTTTTTTTCCCTCCCCCCAATGTTAGTGTTAGAACTTACCTTAAATGATGTCTCTTGATCCGATTTTCTTCTTTCCTGTCGTTTTCAGCCTTCTCTCCAGCGCTGCTGCGGGTCTCCGATCCAGCGCTGACTCCTCTGTCCTTGCTGGCACTTCCTGTCCCACGGCATCTGCATGCGGTTGCACGCTGTTCATAGACTTGCCAAAAATCTGAACTGCGCATGCCCGAGATTTTAAGACGGGAGCACGCGGTGAAGACACAGGTAAGTTTAAAACGCTTTGAAAATGTTTAAAAAAAAAAAAAAAAGTTTTTGCATATATCTACTGCTTGCTAGAAGTAGATACATGCAAAAAAACTAAACCGGAGGGTTTAATAACCCTTTAAGGACTTATCTTAAATGATCCCTCTTGATCAGATCATCTTCTTCCTTCCATTTGTATTCAGCAATCCCTGCTGGTGCCAGTCTCTGATCCAGCGCAGGCTGCTGTCTCTTTCTGTCCCACAGTGTCTGTTCGACGTGCACGCTCCCGGCTGCATGCATTGACTCACGCTGTCTCTCCTCTTCTCCCCGCCGAAGATCTCTACTGCACATGCGCCCGCCCCGTCATGCTGCTCGGCCGCTCAAGAAGCTCCAGATCCAGATCTTCAGACAGGATTGAGCGGCGGAGAAAGAAAGAGGTAAGTAGTTACCTTTTTGGTAACTTTTTAATTTCTTTGCATATATCTACTGCTTGCTAGCAGAAGATATATGAAAAAAAATATTAGTGTTTAATTCTGCTTTAAAACTGAAAGGATTTATAATTTTGTGCAGGTTATACAGACAGTACAGTTATACAGTACAGCTTGCACCTTTCTTTCCCACCAGTCTGTTATTTGACAATAGAGGAGCAGCAGCAACAGACTGATGAAGTTGTCTTTCTGATCACCTATTTTTCCAGCATATACACAGTGCCTTAGAGCCTGACAGGGTCAGAATACTAAAATGCCCTTTTTCAGTGGGAGTTATACAGTACAGAGGGTAATATCACCGAAGATTTGGGTACATGCATTGCATTAAAAAATATATTTAAATGATGCTTTATTAAATACCCATTAGAAAAAAAAATTTGAGTAAACTCACTTTGCACTTTGAATGTCATTTTTTTTATGGTGAACAGAGGTTACTTCCCTGTGTTGAAGGTTAGAAATCACGTCCTGGTGCACCACACATTTTCAATTCAGCATTGTACATATCAGTGCAATAAGCAAACATGCAAAGTCAGATAAAAACCTATTCTTCAATGTGGTATTTTAAATGTAATTCTCATCTAAGGGTAAATGGGTGTATTGACAGAATCCCAAAGTGCACATACTAAAGAATTGAAACTCAATTGCATAACCTCTTTGATCTCACTTTTGGGCCAAAAAGGAGATAGATGGCACCATTCTGCAGATGAAAGTAAGGATGTTGTATGCACACCAAAATATCGTTTCATCATCTGCTTTTATTTACTCTGGTTATAAACGAATATATATTTTGCTAAATAGTGTGGATGACAAATCTCCCACTGCCAGCTGCTTACCCAGGCAGTGCCTGCATCTAACTGGACACAGGCACTGTTCATGTGAAAATTTCCAGATCAGATCCTCCGACAAGAGTCATTTGAAAAACTGACTTGTCGATCAGAAGGATGCCAACAGGATCACCTGCAGCTCGAATTTCGGCCTTACAGGAACCGGATGGAATTCACAACCTCAGATGAACAACAACAAATGACATATTACACCTTGTCATTATTTATTTTACAAACAAAGCCAAAATGGATAAGCCATGTGTGTAAAACTACATACACCCTTAGCCCTCATTCACAATAGAAAAGGCCGGTACGTACAGCTCCCGGGAAGGACAGGTGCTGCGTGTTATTAGTACGCAGCCCCCGTCCTTCTCTATGAGAGTACGCAGCGTACGAGTTAGGACACCCACGCGGAAATGCAGGGCGGGTGAGCCCCCGTGTACTCCCATGGAGAAGGACGGGGGCTGTGTACTAATCACACGCAGCACCTGTCCTTCCCGGGAGCTGCCCGATGCGGCCGTGCACGCAGCACGGAACTGTACGTGCCGGCCTTTTCTAGTGTGACAATGGGCTTTCTGCTTCCATAGGAATTAAGAGGCTAAAAAGCAGCCAGGTGCTGCTAATCAAATTCCCTTGATTAATTGATCATCAGCAAGTGTGACCACCTCTATAAAAAGGCAAAGTTTTAGTAATTTGCTGGTGTGTTAACACAATGGCAAGGAGGAAGGAAAATCAGCAATGATCTTAGGGAAGCAATTTTTGCTGCCCATCAATCTGGGAAGGGTTATAAGGCCATTCCCAAACAATTTACAGTGAGGAAGATTATTCCCAAGTGGGAAACATTCAAGACAGTTACCAATCTTCCCAGGTGAGGACATGCCAGCAAATTCACCCCAAGGTTAGACTTTGCAATGCTCAGAGAAATTAACTCTACAAGCCTCAGTTCGCATGTTAAATGTTAACGTTCATGACAGAACAATTAAAGAAAGACTGAAAAAGTATGGTTTGTTTGGAAGGGCTGCCAGGAGAAAGCAACATGACTTATACCTGTGAAGTTGCATCTGAACAAACCATAAGACTACTGGAACAATGTCCTTTGGACGGGCGAGGCCAAAGTAGAGATGTTTGGCCATAATGCACAGAGCCATGTTGAGCAAAAACAAAACATAGCATATTAGCACTTCATAACAACTGTGAAGCACGGTGGTGGTGGAGGAGTGATAATTTGGGCTTGTTTTGCAGCCACAGGACCTGGGCACCTTGCAGTCATTGAGTCTACCAGGAACTCCTCTGTATACCAAAATATTCTTAAGTCCAGTGTGAACTTATCTGCCCAACAGCTAAAGCTTGGCCGAAATAGGGTCATGCAAAATTACAAAGATCCCAAGCTCACCAGGAAATCTGCAACAGAATGGCTGACAAAGAAAAGAATCAAGGTGTTGCAATGGCCCAGTCAAAGTCCAGACCTCAACCCGATTGAAATGCTGTGGCGGGACCTTAAGAGAGCTGTGCATAAACAAATGTCCATAAATTTTAATGAACTGAAGCAACAGTAATGATGAGTGGGGCAAAATTTCTCCACAACGATGTGAGAGTCTGATAAAGTCATACAGAAAACAATTACTTCAATGTATTGCTGCTAAAGGAGGTTCTACAAGCGATTGAATCATAAGGTGTACTTAGTTTTTCACACATGGCTTCTCCATTTTGGCTTTATGTTTGTAGAATAAATAATGTCACGGTGTAATATGTCATGTGGTGTTTTTATCTGAGGTTGGATTTACTTAATTCTAAGACCTGGTAAGGATCAGATGATTTGTAATGATATGTAAAACCACAGAATTCAAAGAGGGTGTACTTTCTTTTTCACACGACTGTATATGCAATGTTTTGGACCACACAGCGTCCCCTTCATCAGCTGAGGGAACCCTGCATATCTTATTGTGAGTAAATGAAAGCAGATATTGGAATATCTTGGTGTGCAAACAATATTCTAACTTGTTTCATCTCTTTACAGACATGAAATGAAGACGATACAGCAAAACTGATGGAGAAGCACCTACATTCAACAGATCTTTTGTGTTCAAACATAAAAATAAATGCTCTCTCACCGTAGCACCTCCCATCCATTTTGGGTTATCAGGAAATTCAGCGCATAAAACATCCTTAGTCTGCTCTGTTCCCAGAACATGATAATAGAGCTTCTGGTGCAGGTTGGTGGATGTTTCGGTACCTTTCCCAAATGATTATGGCGAAATTGGAAAAAAAACAAAAAACATAAAACACAGATTAATATAGCACGGTGGTTCTATCTACACATTAACCCCTTCATGACTGAGGCCTTTTTTTCATTTTTTGTACCCATGTTATATTCCACATTTTAGGCCTGAAAATTACTTAAAACCCCCCAACATTATATATTTTCTGAATGCCAAGACCCTATAGAATAAAATGGTGGTAGTTGCAAATTTTTATGTTGCGCAATATTAGCGCAACTCCTTATTAAACCCCAATATTTAGTGAAAAATTTAATTAAATGCCCCAAAACACAACAAAATACCCATTTTTTAAATGAAATATAAAAGATGAGGTTACAACGAGTAAAACGATACCCAACATGCCCAGGTTACAAATTGCGTGCATCCGTAAAACGGCGGAAAACCCCAGTACCCCAAAAAGTCCATAGAAGACGCTTTAAAAGCCCCCACAGGTCATCAATTTAGAGATACCCCAATCAAATGGTAGTGACAGTTCACACCACTGCATTCTGTTGGTGCATGCAGTACTTTTTTTTTTTTTAAGCACACCGCAGTGAGACAACGCCATCGTACTGTGGTGAGCCCACAGAACTTAATGAAATGTCACTTGTAACATTTTAATAAAGTTCTTAAGAAAGAAAGAAAAAGTTTGTTTTTACGGCTTGATTGAACACATCAGCACTTTCCATGCACAGGTACACCACCAGTCATGTGGTTGAATGGGGTTGTTGGTGTGAACAAACCCTAAATCCAATTGCTTTAGGTTTAATCTGACATTGCTGCGTGAAAACTCCAGCAAATTATTTTCCCATTCAATTTTGGTGACCAATGCCAAAAGTTCTAAAACTTCCCCACTTTATTGCGATTTGTGTCCCTTTTGGATAGAGTTTTTTTTTTATCATCATCATCATCAGGAGAGAATTGTTTGATGAAAAAAGTTTAACACTTTTCCACATGGAAAAAAAATGTATAGCTGGGAGATCCACTTGCAGTCAAACATACAGGTGCAAAGTACCGTAACTGGGCAATTGAAAAAAATTAAACATTTTTGGCTTGGGGGAGGTAGAATTTCTGATGGAGATGGAAACCGTTTTTTTCTATTTTAGGTGTGGACAAGGGGGCTCCATGAAAGAGATCTCCCCTCACTTCCAGTCCTGCTATATGACGTCTTTGTCCCTGTTGCAGTTTTTTCCCCCCACTTCCTGTCTGGTGAAACCATTGTCAGGACAGAAAGCGAGGGGCAGGGTCTTCAACAGATCCCTGAATAGCAGTAAATAGCAGATATGGGTTAAAATTCTGTCCTACACTACCCACAACTATATGCATCATTAAAGGATTTAATAATTTTTATTATTTAAACTAGAGTAAGTACCTGAATGTGACTTGATATCAGCCTCTCGTAGTCCCTGTGCAGCAGGCTGGAGTGAGCAAGGAAGAAACAGAAAAACGAGCCAATGTGTTCATGTTTTGACAAGAAGCATGCTGCTCAGTGGCCTGCTTCTTCTTTCACTGTCACAAGTTAAAAGTGTCTGCCTATCTTTTTGTGTGTGTACAGTATTTGCCGGCGTATAAGACGAGTTTTCTTGACTGTGATATTTACATATGACTGGGTGGCACTATTTAAATATGAATAAGCCATGACTTATTCTCCCAAAAAGTCGCTAGAGTGTTCGGGTTTTGCTGAAAGAAAAGGCCAAACCCTAACTAAGACATAAAACAGCCACAGTCCCGAAGGAGATAAATTCCAACTGTATAAGGTACTCACCATCACTTTTACCCTCTTGCTCAGGATAACGGTTATAAAACATTCCAACACGATCATGAGTCCAAGACATGCAGCTAAATTTTACTCTCTCCAGAACATCTGGCAGTTCCTCTCGGTTGCAAACTTTCAAGAACTTGATAGTTACCCAGTCTGAGCCACTATTACTTAACCCGTAGGCAAAATACTCTCCATCTTCTGTGAAAGAATAGCCTGGGAAAAAAGAAACATGCCCCCCTTAGATGAATAGGACAAAGGGCTGCAATGTCATTTGTAAATCTGTACTATGAAACATTCACCTATTAAAAAGACTTAATCAAAAAGATAAATCTCTTCACCATCCAGATGTGTGGCTTCAGTTATCCAGAACCTGGATGTTTTAGCCCTGGTTCACACCTATGCGGCACTGTTTTTGCGCGTTTGTATGCACGTTAACAGCCTGAGGTTATTGGTGCGTTGTGCACATTTGTATGTGCGTTTTAACGCGTGCACGTGAAGACGTGCGTTTTGATAGGCAGCTCATAAACCATTGTGGGCAATGGAAGAACGCCCGTATAAACGCACAAAAACGCTCACGAAAGTGCGCAACATGCTTCTGTTGCTCGTTTTTGGACAGTTCCAATGAAATCTATGGTGAGGAAAAGTGCTTTTAACTGCCCAAAGAAGCTCCTGAAACTTATCAGGCGTTTTTCTGCTCAGGTGTGAACCAGGGCCATTGAAAATCATGGGATTTCTTCTGTTGGGCAGTTAAAAGCGCTTTTCGAACTGCTCAAAAACACCTAGGTGTGAACCAGGGCTTAAACAACTCAACAATAGCAATATAGGGATACATTTGTTAACAGCAATTTAATGATGGGTAAAGTTTAACACCTAACATGAAGAAACTCAGCAAAACGTGCTTACACTTTCCATTAACATTAATCAGAAAAGACAGCTTACCCCGCAGAGCAACCGTGCCATCTTCAGAAAATGTATTAGGATCCAGGAACACCTTTGGTTCATCATCTAGAGAATCCTGAACATACATTACTTTTTGATTCTGAAGCCCAGAATTGTAGAAATAGAAATACCTAATGGTTTGCAAAGAAAAACATATTTAGAGTGTTAGTGTGCATAGAGTAACATGAAACAAAGAGTTATCCTGATATTGGATTAATAGCAAGATTAAGAGCAAGAATGCACAATATTAGCAACGCAAGTAGTATAAACATTGAAACCTCAGAACGCTACTGTAGAACCAGTGTTTCCCATACCTTGGGACAGTATCAATGGTGGTAAATGCTCTCACTGTGGGCAGACGCTGCAGAGCTCAGGATTTCTCTTCAGAAGAGTGTTGTACTGTGTGAATATTCTTTGCCTAGTGTTCGCCTGCAGTGGCATATACCCGTGGAAACATGATGACATGAGCTGTATGGCCTTGTATGGGTGGCCTTTTTAGAAAACAGAGTATCCTTATGGAATGCTGGCGGCATGGTACATGAGGTGCACTTTAACCCTTTTACTGCCGGGCCCCGCTCTCCACTTTTTTTTCTTTTAGAATTCTTTATTTAGTGAGAAACTTGCAATGACAGGTTACATAGTAGTCAAAACAGTAGGTAAACAGAAGCATACCCTATAGGCAACTCAGATCGGAGGATGTAAATAAAGAAGTATCTCAAGCATACAAATGAACCACCTATAGTCAAATCCTCTCCAACAACAGTGACAATGAACCTATGGGCTAGATTACCCATCCTACAAGCCTCCATTTTTAATTTGGTGTAGCCAACAAAAGGTAAACAAACACTAACATAGAGGACAAGAAACACAACAAAGAGGAAATCCACACTGATATGAAGCAGAATAAAGCAGAAAACCAGAATAGAGGGGAATGGACAGAGAAAGTCATTCTGAGCCTGATGAAGGGGACCCCTTGAGGCCCAGAAAGCGCTTGCACTGAATGGCAATATGTCATTAAATGGACTTTTGCTTAATTACTCTTATGGTGTGCTGGTGACATTATTTCTTCATCTGGACAGAGAAAGAGACACAAGCACTGTTGGGGGGAGTCGAGGGAGGAAGGCTAGCAACATTCCCATCTATTGACTATTAGTCCCTAGATCAAATTTGGCCTACAAAGCCTCCTCATACTCCTGAGAAAAAACATATTGGTGCCAATAGAACCATGTACGTCTAAACTTTTCCTTGCGGTTATACAGGGTCACTGAGAGATTTTCCATATACTCGATTTCTTTGATCTTAGCAAACCACAAGTCAATCGAAGGGGGAACCGTCTGCTTCCAGGGGGCCGGAATACACAATTTGGCCGCATTCAATAGAAAAAGCCAAAGCAACTTTTTAACCCTTTCGCTGCCAAGGACGTATGGCATACAGACCTACAAAAGTAAAAATGGCTTGGCCAGCTGATTTGAAAAATGTTCCGGAGGGCTTGGCAGCGAAAGGGTTAAATCCACTTCTCGGGAGACTTGAGACATGGTGAAGACAGGCTGCCAGGTTGCCACACTGTGGTGCAACTGATCCCTTAATTTAAGATTATGTCTATTGAGGAAAAACTAGTTGTATGAGAATATAGAAAGGGTGAAGAGTTTGGAGAAGGCAGGTGAAGTGAACAATCTAGGACCACATAGCTGAACTGGAAAGTTAAATTGGAGAATTGGTAAGCTAAATTGGAGAATTGTTCCAAGTCAGCTATTTTGGCCTGGATTGTTCACTTCCCCTGCCTTCTCCAAACTCTGCACCCTTTTGTGAATAACCATGCGACTCTTCCAAAAATGAAGAAACTGTCAGTTCTTTTTTTTCAGCTCACAAAGCAATCTTTGTAACTTAAGCCCAAAATCTTAAAAAAAAAAAAGTCAAAGAAAACATGGGCTGTTGTGCACTAAATTATCCCCCCCCCCCATGCTGGTGTATGCACTTACCTTAAATGATACCTCTTGATCTGATCATCTTTTTTCCTGCAGTTTTCAGCAGTCCCACCAGCGCTGTTGCTGGTCTCCGATCCAGCGCTGACTGCTGGGTCTTCTGTGTCCCACGGAGTCTGTGCGGGTGCACGCTGCTAGGCTGCTTGCATTGACTTACCTTGTGTCTCTCCTCATCTCGCGGCTGAAAATCTGTACTGGGCAGGCGCCCGCCCCATGATCCTTTGCGGCCGCCCGAGAATCTTCAGATCTTCGGATGGGAGCGCGCAATGGAGACACAGGTAAGTTTAAACCTCTTTGGTAATTTAGGGCTTGCCTTCCTATACACTCCCTAAATAGTAAATACCTATAAAAATCTATTATTTGATGTCATGAAAATGGATTCTCCCTTCTGCTGTAAAAATGGCAATGCTTAAGCCTAGCAACAAGTTGATCAAGCCCTGCACTGTTATCCTTATACCCGGAAGTCAGGCTTCCGGGTATAAGGGGGTTCTATCGGCTTTCTGGAGAGGCAAACTTTGATATAAATATCCTATAATACCTGTTATCCTCCCACAGTCTTAGCTAACATTGTTGCACTCCAGCATATGAAGTGTATTATTTCTGAATAAGCAAGACTGGATAATACTGAAGATACATGTATGGCAACATCTGCATGAATACTTATAGTACCTTTTTCCTTTCTTGAAATGGCAGCTATACTTTGGATAGTCATAGAGTTCTGTCATTCGATCCTTGAATAGCCGTCGAACCGGACATTGCTCAAGAAATGGCATTGTCAAGTTATTCTGAGCTTCAACAAATGCCTAAAAAAAACAGAAAAGGTGAAATAATTAAATGTGTGTGACCGCTCCAAAATATAAGGTAATTTACTTCACTATTACTAGATCCGTTTTCTCCTGTACTACACACATCAAAATAAGCGTTCTATTATATGGTGAGCAAAGCCAGAAAACACTAAAGATATTTTTTTTTACTACCTCCTGTCCCAATAGGTAGAAAAAGCAATCTCACAGTTACAGGCTGCTGTGGAATATATGTAGAAAATAAATTCCCAGAAAGTGGTAAATGAAAAATTGTTCAATCAACAGCTAATACCTGAAGCAAAATAACATGCTCCTGCCCTTCTATTTCCCTAAAATTAATAGAAGTTAAAAGAAGTTCCAAAATGTATTATTATCACTCATTTACTTACTATTCTGGCTTGTTGCCATCTTTTCTGTAATTTGTGATAACCTTTGTTAATAAAGAATTCATTAAAAAAAAAAAAGAAGTTCCAAAAAAATTACCTACATTAAGGAAAATGCTACTGCGGGGTGGCATGATGGTGTTTTAAATGTCCAGATGTTATTTACAGGGGTGTAGGGCTTGGCATGCAATTAGAGCCAGCCAATCAGCAGCTCTACCTAAACACAAGTCTCCTGAACCCCTTCTCTGAGACCAAATGACCAGGCAGCATATTTCGCAATACAGGCATGTATAAAGAGCTACTTTAATTTCTATGAATTTGGAGTGGGGCAGACAGGAGGCATGGAGTGTTATTTCTCTATGAAACCAACCTTCTAGTGACTCTGTCCTATATGAAATTTCGAATAGAAGGTCACTCGCACTCCAAAGCGATGCCAAGTCAATCTCTGTATTGACTACGATAGTGTAACATCTCAGAGCGACGTTTCGGAACCAAGTGGCCCCTTCTTCAGGCAAACAGAAAACATTTCATGTTTGCCTGAAGAAGGGACCACTAGGTTCCAAAACGTCGCTCTGAGATGTTACACTGTCAATGTCAATACAGAGATTGACTTGGCATCGCTTTGGAGTGCGAGTGACCTTCTATTATAATTTTCATATGGTCTGCGGAGGCATCTGCTGTCACTGTCGCACCCACCCTGCTTTTGGGCTTGCTTCCGGACAGTAGTACAATGGGACATACTTTGGCTTAAGTTCTGTCCTATAATGATGCACAATGACATTTGTAGAGAAGATTGAGATACTGCAGAAACCAACTTTACTTTTTAAACTTGTGTTTCTATTGCAATGTGGCCTCTACAATATTGCTCTTTTTTAGTATCTTCAGGTCATGAAAGGCAGAATGCACATGGATTCTGCCAACCACATGTTGTATTGGTTGCCAGAATCCATGTATTTAATGGATGTATTTAACATCCATTGTATGTTGTACATACAATGTATTTGACAATTCTAAGGCGTTTATTATACACCTGGGCAGATGTAACTTGCACAGCACTAGTGCCCTTAGAAGGCACTAAGGAGTATATAAATTTCCTAAAGCTCCTCAATGCCATTTAGGGGGCTAGTGTCACGCAAACAGCAGTTTTATAAATAAGCCCGTAAGTATTTACATACACTCTGACATGGGAGTGGCCGCATCATTTTATAAGTAGTGACATGTGCACGCCATATTCATTTTAGGATGTTACATTTGAAAATGCTAAAACATGCTCATAAGGAAACAGATCATTTTTGCCCATGTAGGGAGTGAAGACAGTCCCACTGTAAATATTGTTACTACAAGTGATCTCTGACAACAACTATTACCTTCTAAATTGGGTTAAGATGCTGAAAGGGTGTCATTTCAGGTATGTCCACACACATGCATAGACAAGACCTTGCCACTCAAGTTGAATTGCGTGCCTAAATCTGCTAGCCTATGTAGCGGCTAACATGGGTACAAAAAAATGAAAAAAAGGCCTCAGTCATGAAGGGGTTAAAGGGAATGTGAAGGTTTCCATATGCTTTTTTATGCATCACATGAATGAGCAAAAAATAAATGTTTTAACTTTTTAGAATGGTTTTCTTTATGCAAATAAATATGAAATATCGCATTTATATTTACTGCATATGTACTCATTGGCATCCGGCAAATGATGTGTGTGAGTTGGATACGTCAGAGTTTTAGATAGATGGTTTGCTGCAGAGCTATAACTAAAGATAATAGCAGGATGTCAGGTGACACACGGAGCTGAATAAATCAGAAGAGGAGCACACTATCCTGCAGCGAATGTGTCCTCTAAGGGCCCATTCACAGCACATCCAAATCATCTCCAGCCCAGACTGCTTCCGGACCCAAAATGCATCCTAATGTATCCATATGCTATTTCTGGCCTCTGTTCACACCTGCGCAGTCTGTTCCAGACCAGACAAATACTGCATCTCTCATTTTGCCTGGTCTGGAATGCACTGGAACCGCGGGCCGGTTCACACCATTTTCCGGACCAGATGTGGTAAAGAAAATGGTGGGAACTTGCCCTTAAACGTCAGATTGCAGGAACAGTCACGAAGTGCAGAGCTACTACCGGGCTCTATTATTAGACAAGGTCTCTGTGCACACGGAAACATCAAAGTGCCTGTATTCAATGTTTACATTTAAAAGAATAATTGATACAAATCATAAAAATATATACAATATTGGTTTATAAGCTTATAATAAAAATAACTATTTTAGTATTCCTTTAAACAGATAATCACCTTTGTCTGCTCGCTGTCTGGATCTTCAAGCCACCTGTATGGATCAGGAACCTTTACACCATGGTATTCATCAACCTTTAATACATAATGACAGATACTAAACAGATAGTTTTATACAAAAAAATGGACTAGTCACTCCCCCAAGTTACAGCTTATACAAGACATAATTATAATGTCAGTAAGCATCCCCCTGCCCCTTTGGTTACATTCAGATGCTAGATATGGAATCTCCTGGCCAGCAGCTGAAGGGGACAGGGATGGGTCACTGGTTGCAAAAGATGCCTTTGGCAGCACAGCCAACCTTAGCCTCTTAGCAACCAAATGGCGTGGCTACGTAGGCAGAGCCTGATGGGGATGCCGAGGGACTAGTTCCCCATCAGGTCTGTGCTGCTGCTGATTGACAGCAGGCAAATGCCATAGCCAATAGCCATCTTTGGGGAGGATAATGCTTAGCCTGGGAAGTGTTACTGAGCTGAATGGAGGATGGAGTGTGCAGTATGGACACTCCAGCCTTAGTGTGCCTCCGCACCACATATGGTGGTGCTTGCCCCAAATTCATGTACAGTTACATGGATTTGGGCCAAGCACTGACATTTCCTATTAAAACTGTGTAACAATACACTGAGGGGAATATATCAAAACTAGACCAGCTGTGCATGGCAACCAATCAGCTTCTCTCTTTCATTTTTAAATCTTAACTGAACACACTGAAGAGAGAAGCTAATTGGTTGCCCTGGGCAGCTGCTCCAGTTTTGATAAAGTTCCCTCATTGTGTTCATGGAGTTTTTGCTCTGTTAGCGCTGCTGTTTATAATTACACATGGGGAAGGTTTGTAGCGCGGTTAAAAGGAGATTTTATAAGCACTGACAATTATTTTGCAGATGCACGACAGAATTCTAAAGAGTCCATTAGCTGATACTTCTATGTGGGTAATTCCTGTCATGATAAAATTCGGTAAATTAATTCCTTTTCTAATTTCACACACCTTTATGGATATGTTTCTCCACATTTACATGCAGACCACACCATCCAATGCCCTGAGGGGACACCATTTGAGGATTTACTTTTTGGAGAGATTTCCTATCACTTTCTGTTGTGTCTACAGGACAGGAAATGAAGGGAAATCACTCCAATGGGACACAAATGGCAAAAACAAAACAATGTAAGAAAATGTGTTTTCTTCCCTATTCTATGTAAAAAGTTGATAAAAAGTGAGAGATGTCAGTCCTCTGACAGTGTTAGACTCATTTTACACCTAAATGTGAACATAGATGATTCAGTATATCTGTAAAAAATAAGCCAAGGCAACTGGACTTGCTGTATTTTTCTTGAAGATGTTTCACTGGTCATCCAACCAGCTTTCTCAATTCAGAATGACTAAAAATCTGAGAAAGCTGGTTTGATGACCAGTGAAACGTCTTCAAGAAAAATACAGCAAGTCCAGTTGCCTTGACTTATTTTTTACAGATATACCATGACCTGGATGAATGAGAACTTTCAGAGACAAAGATGATTCAGGTCCCATTCACACCGTAACCATTGCATTACCATCCATTTTTTTAAATGGATATTAAAAGCAAGAGCAAGGAAAAATGAATGGGTGTGAATGGGGACAGTTCACAGTGCAGCGCTGCCGTACGTTGCGCTGAAGAAAAAAAAAGGTGGAGCATGCTTTACTATTTTCCAGCGCAATGCAAGAGAAATGTGTGATAATGCAACACAACGCATGCCAGTGAACGCAGTGAAATATGTCCATGCAGCACATTGTTTCACACAACGCTTGACAAAAAAGTGACGGAACACAACGGATCGTAAGGAACTCGGAAGGCACAATCACAAGTCAACGGACCCTCCACTGACTTGTGAGTACCTTCTGATTTTGGTGTGAATGCACCCTTAGAGGCTTTTTTGTGCATCTTCGAGTGTTTTTATGCATGACTACTAGTACAAGGGAAGAATCATGCGTTTTTGGCTCCATACACTTTTAAATAGGAAAGCCTGAATAACGCACATAAACATTAAAGTATATAGGGCTTCATTGAACAGGTGGCAAGCGATACAATGCTCACAGGTGAACAGGCCCATTGAGAATAATGGAATTCCTCTTGTTGTGCTTAGGTGCTACAACATATCAAGATGTGAATGGGGTCTAATAGTTTCTCCCTGTCACTTTTAATGGACAGCTTGACCTGCACATAAACAATGAAAACAAATATAAATGTACGTGCTATAGAAGTTAGATGCATAAAGGAAGTATGTTGAACCGGCTATTACATGTGTTACCCTAATTTGGTCTGCAGAGGCGCCCCTGTTGGGAAGGTACAGGTGCATTCAATGCATAGACACCTATATGACATCATCCCATTTGTAGGACACATGACACAGCGTTTTGCTGTCACTGTGATGGACGGACAGGCAGCCTCAGTCTGCACTCACCGCACTGTCATCGCGGAAGGCCTCAGGATAGCGGAAGGTCGGCGGCGGCTGCATGGTATCAATCGGGCTGAGGAGAAGACAAAGAGCTCTGCCACACACACACAACGAGCTCGGCTAGGAACCGGCACCTCCTATCGGACTGAACAGCTGCCGGCGCTTCCTAGTGACGCACAGCCCCAGCCTGCCTGTCAGATTCCCCACTACACTGAGTAGGTCATCAGAGGGGGACGGAGTGCGAGCGATGGCTGCCTGCTGGGCGCTGTCACGTGGGTGGCTGTACACAACAGCGGGCTCTGTCACATTACTCCTGGATGGACTGTAGTAGAGACGTATACGGGGTATATGCAGTTTATGTTACCACTATGTGACGCTGGCACACCACAACTAAACCACACTACTAAATGGAAGTTGAATGACACAAAAATGAAATTGTCTTTCGATCCCGGTGCAAGAAAATTGGAAGGAAACATGAACTAGTAACGTTTGTGGTCAGCAATCAATGTGCGCCTTGCCAATTCCTGTTTTATTATACTGATCACAACTGTATGCTTGTTGCGTCCAATGTGGGCTACAAGTATTCTGTTATAGTGTTGTGCATGGACTTGGTGCAGGCCAAGTTTGCCCAAGCCTGTGCAAAATTATCAGTGATATAGCCCCTTTCTGGCTAGATCAGTTGCGCTCGGAGCATTTCCGCCCTGCGGCTACACAAAGAGGCAGGGAACGTCCCAGTCATAGATAGTTTTGCATGGATTCGGGCAAACTCGGTTCGAACTATGCCCACGGATGTCATAAACTGTTCCTGTGTCATAAAAGTACATTCCACCTTTTGCAAAAAATTAAGAAATGTGACCACATTAATAAAACACTAACTGCATTTCCTAATCATACATTGCAGGAGACAGGATGATATTCTAAGACCACTTGGTTATACTGCCACATTTAGGAGATTGGACACTGGCAAAACAAAGCTGTAAGGACAGCCCAGTAGAACCCCTCCCACTTCCAGCATGCCTCAGTTTTTTGCTAGTGTCCTTTAAAGGAGGTAGCTGTCACTCACGCAGCTGGGCGGATCTCGACATCATGTCGAGATCCGCTGCGGCGTCTCAGTATACCGTGAGCTGTGGCTCGCAGTATACTGAGCTTAGGGTAACGGGAGGATGCTAGTTTGTGTCCTCACGTTACCCTAAGGAGAACTATGGGGAAAAGCCCTGACCCCATAGTTCTCCTTTAAGTACTGGACATTCTTTTCTCTACTTTTTTTTGTCATACTAATTTTTCCCTATTACTAAGACACAGCTGCTACAGAGCCACTGGAGCACACGTTAGCAGCATCTGGATCTGCACTCCTTAGCTGAGTCTTGGGGACTGTACCTAGACCCTGATATGGGGCAGGCCTATAAAGTGGCTTTTGTCACTGCATCCTGCTTGGGGTGCCCACCCTGGCACATACGCTGAGTAAGCTTTAGGGTGCTATACAGGTCTAGAGCAGTGGTCCATCTGCCAGTGGAGCCCTGTCTAGGAAGAGGTCCCCTTAGCGGTATGCCCACCCGGCAGATGAAGACTGCCCAGGATGCCCCGCATGGGCCACAGTTGTTGACCTAGTTACATGTCCGGACCACCATCGGTGAGTACCCAGGGGCTTCTCCCTTTTCCCCCACCATGCCTTGTTTTTTCCCCTGTGGGCAGTAACTGACGGAGCTGCAACATTTTAACACGTGTCACAGACTCAGTCAGGGCAGCACAACATGTGTACTGTTTGTACTGTGGCCTATAGAGACCTAGTCTCACATGGCCATTAACCTTACTGCAGTGGTCTGAGAGTGATCCTTATTGATACTTTTTCACTGGTATCTGTTTGAACATACACACATCGGTTTTAACCCCTCCTGCTCTGCCATTGGTCTCCGAGTATTCCTTTGTAGTACTGTCTAATTCTGTTTGCACAACAGCCTATGGTGGCTTAGTCAGAGTTTACTGTTACCTCCTCCTGCTCAACAGTAGGTCCATGAGTGGCCTTTGTTGGTACTGTCTCTCTTGCATGCTGTTTGTATTGTGACCATTGATCCCTTCTGCTCTGCGGGGGTTCATTTAAGAGTGTCTTACATACTGTTTGTATCATAGAGGATCATCCTTTAATCCCTGCTCTGGGGTTGATATATAAGTAACCCTTGCTGTTTAATTTACTTACTGTTTATAGTGTGTCCTAGTCAAAACAGGCATTTACCCCTGCCTTGCAGCTGGTTTCTGAGTACTCTTGCTGATACTATTTAACTTGCATACTGTTGTATAACTGCCTGTGTTGACCTAGTCACAACCAGCCATTATCCCCTCCTGCACTGAAGCTTGGTTTTGAGTTTGCCTTGATAGTGAGGTTTCATTTATATATCTGTTGGGTTAGAGGGCATTCCAGTGAGCCCCATGGCTCCCAACTGGCCCAGAAGATATGTGCTGGCAGTCTACTGGGATCTTCTGTCTCAAGGCCCATTATTCAATACTGCTTCTTGGTCGGTGAAAATGACAGCTTGACCCTTGAAGCCCAGGTCCTGAGAGATAGATTTTTGTCTGATATTCCTACACTCTTACAGATCAGAAAGTCCACCTCTCACATGTGTACCATTGCACCTGAAGGCTTCCTTAGCTTGGTGTGAACAGCAAAAATGTTATCCTGGGAAATACACCATAGGACAGATTTTTGGCTTTCTTCAATAAGAGTTAGGTTAGCATTTGGCTCTAAGAACAATCAAGGGAGAAATTTTGTCCTTGGTCATCTTTTTTCAGCAACCTTTGGCCTCTCATTCCATGGTAAAGGCCTTTATACAGGGTCACTCATGTGGCTTCTCCTAGATGCCCTCCAATAACACCATGGGATCTTAATCTAATGCTCTCATCACTCCAGCGAGCACCTTTTGAACCTATCAGAGATATCTTTCTGATGCATTTTACATGCAAGATGGTTTTCCTTGTCGCTATTACATCTACTAAAAGGGTTTCGGAGCTGGCAACACTGTTGCGAAAATAAACATTCCTTGTTCTTTGCAAGGATAAGGTTGTTTTCATGCCTAGTGACTGCTTTCTGCCTAAAATGGTGTCCTCGTTTCACCTCAATCAGGACAACGTCCGTCCCTCTTTTTATTCTGCTCTGAAACACTCTGTTCTGCTCCCTCCGCTGTTTGGATGTGGTTTGAGGTGTCCGAGTCTACCTCTCAGCTATAGCTTCGTTCAATCCAATTGTCTCTTTGTCCTTCCAGAAGGTCCCACAGGGGGCTCTCTCCATCCCCTTCCACCATCTTTAGGTGGATCAGACAGGTCATTGTTCATGCCTATTCTAATAAAGGTAAGGCTCTGCCATTTTCTCTTCTAGATGTGTCATATATTTACTAAGTTCTCCCAGGTGGATGTTCAGTTATGTGGGCCTGATGGCAGTTGTTTTGCTGTGTTGCCCATCCCTCTGTTCTATTGATTTCGGACGTCCCAGTTGTCTATGAATCTGCTTGTGTCCTGTACTAAATGATCATGAAAATTGGATTTTTGACCAGTACAATCTATTTCTTGAAGTACAGTACAGGACACGGGACCTATTCTCCATTGCTTGCTAAAAAACAAGGATTTCTGGGAGTGGGAGGGGTTATATGAGAGTCCTCACTGCTCTAGCCAGTGTCCAATCATCTGATGATACCTGCATATTACCCAGTCATCTCTGAATCTGCCTGTGTCCTGTACTGTACTCTAAGTAACAGTTTTTACTGGTAACTCAAAAATCCAATTTTTATATGACTTAGGTGTGTGCTGCATATCTCACCTTGTTCAGCTTGGGCTATTTTAAATACAACAACTTCTCAAAAATATTTAAGTCAGTTACACTTATATTTGGATAATGCAGACACACTTTTAATGCCAAATTGATATAATACTAAACTTATATTGGAACACATAGACATGCCTAAGCCTCCTGTCTCCTCACCTGTCAACAGCTAAATATGACCTGCTTTTAGAGAGAGAAACTGATTTGGCTCAATTTGTCACCTAAAAACCCACCTGAACACCTAAAATTTATGAATTAGCTGCAGAGATTGCATGTAATATGTGCACCGTGCACATACTTTTGTACATCTGTTTTGTGCACACAAAACATTTGGCATAAGCTCTACCCCATCATTCAGCAATCAATGCCAGAGCCCCAGCGGCATAAGGAGGCCTTGGCATAGAATTGTTCAATGGGGGATGTGTGTAATCTCTTATGACTTCATTTTACTTGTTTAGGTCCCACCAAAAGTAGCCATCTCTCTACACTTAGTGGATTTTACTGTAAGGAGAAAGCTTAGTGCAGGATTTATAAATCATCTGCCGGGATATATGCTGGTGGATTGCCATTCGCACAGCATTCTAGAGAGGATTGCCATTTGCAGGGAATGACTAGGGATCAAGGAGCATAAGTGCACTAAGACAAAGCATGTGTTGCAGTCCACAACCCACGGTTATGCACTATCTTGCAATGTGATTTGCTGCTGTTTTTTGTCCACTCTTGTGCATTGGTAGCCAGTTGTAAATGAATGGGCTCCCTTATTGCAACGCACATTGATAGATGACACAACGCAGGTTAAAGCGCATTTATTAGGAGATGGCACAAAAATGGCAAAATGTGAATGGGCCATCAGAGCTGCATATTTTGTGTGGATAACATTGCAACAGTTCCCTCTAGTGGTGATTCTGGATTTGTTAAAGTACAAATATGAATTAAGTTGTGTTATAGTTTATTTTGGTTATGGTTTATGTGCACATCAAAGACTTGCCCTTTGAACTGCACATAATGTCAATTCTAGCAACCCTGGATTTTCTATTCTTTTTATTTATATACGCTCTAACTTTTTTAGTTTGTATACTGTATATCTTCTTATAAGTGGATTGTGGATACAATGCTCTGACTCCTGTAGACTATTTCTCTGATTGATAATTACTGTTTTGCCGTATGAAGGGGTCCCTGTGTGGCCCTGAAACATTATGTTATGTGATAATGAGCATGGCGTATTGATCAGCATACTGGAGTGCCAGTGACCCCTTCTTTTCTGATATTGAGTGGCACCATCCATTTCCAAAAGGGACTTACTGGTCAGGAGTGTGATGGAACTTT